GTTGGTGGTGCTGAGGAAAGGATGACTGACAGATTGATGTCAGAGAGGAAGTGTGTGGAAGCTGACTGAACCTGGCTCTGTGTGTTTTTAAGGTTAATGTATTTTTGCTATGTGAATGTTCTGATGGCGTTAAACTGTATTTGACTGCTTTTAATAATGAGTCAGAAAGTATTTCACCATTTTATTCATTTTTAATAAATTACACTGAAGAAAAAAACAAGTGATGAGTGTCAAAAGAACTCAAAACCTTCGGAGAAATACAAAAGAACACAGCCATTGATGTAATTTAGGTTTCCCTACACATTTTGTTAGGTGGCAAAACAAAACCCTGTGCATTAAACCTGATTTACTGGTGCATACAGTGCTGTGCAAAAGTCAGAGACCACCCTTTATTTCTTTAATTTCCATGCAAAATGGCCATCAGGTTTTTTGTTTTGTTTTTTTTCCCATCCACTCTTCACCTTTATTCCAGCTTCCATTCTTTTCAGGAGACTCACTTTCAGTTCCTCAAAGAATCTGCAGACACACCTCCAAAGTTCAGTCTTGGAAGTTGGTTGATCATTTTCTGAAGTAATCAAACCCATTCAGTGGTGTTGAGGTCTGGACTCTGGGGTGGTCAGTCCATCGTTCAGCTTCTTTGTTTGAGGTGTCCGTCTCCTTTTCTCAGTCAGGTTCTTCTTGAACAGCTACACATCCTTTCAGACCCACAGCGCTGATTCGTCTTCTCACAGTGGAAGGATGGACAGAAACACCTGTGGATGTTTTCAGATCTGAAGCAGTTTGATTTTCCCCTCTCTCTCAAAGATGAAAGCTTTAAGTGCTGTTTATCTGATGGGGGCAGTTTTAGTGGTCTAACGCCAGAGTCAGAACCCAAATGTTAAGAAGAGCCATTTTGTATTTTCAACAAAAATGAGTCCACTTTGGGAGCCACAACATTTTATGTCCATTTCATGGAAGTTAGTTTTACCATCTTGGCCAAAAAATATATCTTTCTTAATATGTGCTAATGTCCTAGTATAGACTAAAAAATATAAACGAAAAACACAGACTTACTTTGCTCTGCTTTAAGCTTTAGCTCAGCTATAGCTGCTTTTCTCGCATCTCCAGCAGGAACCTTTTTACAAAAGTAGAACAGTTTGTTGCAAAATGTCTCTCAATGTTCAACTTTTTGCGAGGCTGAAGTCGCTTCTCATTCACCAGGTTCTTGTTCGAATTTTCCCGTTCCACCTTAAATAGTGCCTGAGGCGACAGAATGTAACTGCTGCACCATTTAAGGTGGAACGGGACAATCAAACAAGAAGCTGGCGAATGAGAAACTGACTTCAGCTTGAGTTTCTCGTTGCAGATTAAACGTATCAGGAAACCAGCTGGAGTGATTATAAATGCAAATGAGTTCATTTGTCTCCAAATTATTAATGTTCGTCTTTAATCTTTCTCTTTGTCTTTTCTTTAGCTACTAGCTAGACAAGATTGTTGTCTGTGTTGCTATGGTGACCAGCAGTCTGTGCTGATCTTCAGGGTTAAAGGGTGAATCAGCAGTTCTACATTAACTCCAGAGTTTAAGGCCATTTATTGTTAAACTGTGTTGAACGATCAGCAGAGCTTTATTTTACTGTAAAGGAGGATTATTTTATTTTTACCTACAAATCTAATTCTGCTGTGGAGCCACAACAGGACGGTAAAAGAGCTGCCGACCCCTGGTCCAACAGGTCGTCCAGGTGGTTGTTAGGAGAGCCAATTCCTCCATAGTGTTTAATAATTTTTATTAATCAGTTCCAGTTTTGGAAACTTGTGTTTTTTCACTTATTTTCCTTTGATGATCTTCTCCCTCATGCACATGAATTATCTTATATCTGTCTCTGACTTTTGCACAATACAGTATCTCCATGGTAACATCGCTCTCTGCTAACTCGTCCATCAGCCTATGGGTTCTGTAAAGTGATTAATGTGCACCAGCTCTCTTGTCATATTTCATTCAAGTTATATGACAGCAATTGATTTGTTTCATGAGCAGATTTGTTTTATCTTATTAAGTAGAACTTAAGCCCAGGACACACAGACTTAGCATTATCCTAAAAGGGTTCTTACGCAGGTCTAGAAAGAATGGAAGTTGAAGGGACACTCCAGACGAAGTAAAAAAACACAACTAACGTTATATTTGTTGTAAATAGGGCTGGGAAATATGACAAGATATATTGTTATCGTGATAAACTATGCCACAATACTGTACTGTGTGTTTTTCTGAAAAGATTATGCATATCATCAGTACTTGTAGAACGCTGACCAACTGCATGTTTCATTATACATGTTTCATTGTAATAGTATGTTTTTAATGTAGCACTACTGGTTCTTTTTCTCTGTTCTGACTAATCAGATGTCTGTAAAAATAAATACTGTTACATATCAAGTATCGCAATATTATATTTTTCTGCCATATCGCCCACCTCTTTGTAAACATTTTTGCTCGCCTCTTACAGTAGTAATGCAGCAGTCACCACGTTAGATTTGGTGGTTTGAATTCTATGAAAAGACATCCTTTATGTCAAGGTAGTAAAACTTGAACTACAAGCTATAGTTAGTGGTGAACTGTTTGAATGCTTTTTGCTAGCTGGCTCACTAGTTAGTCCAATTTGTCTAATACAAAAGGAAGCCAGAAAGCTACTACACTACTGCTAGGAGGCCTAATAACTTCACATAACTTTGCTAACTGTCAAATCATTATCACAACAGAGAGCATGGATTAGACAGAGTGACAGAACACGACGACAAGCTAAAAGATAAAGTTAGCAGTTACCTCTCTCTGATTTCTGTTTGTACTCAATAACATTTATTATCTTCTTTACAACCTGCTTTGGTGGATATCTCAGTAATTCACCTTAAAAATCCATCTAATAGTCCTCTGATTTGAAATGCTGGCTGTACGTCTGTACATAAAGATTATATGACCTCCATTGCTATGGCTGCTGACCACTTTTTGCAAGGTTCAACCTCTTTTTTTGGGTGGAAAGGTGGAAAACATCACCTTTTTGTGTTTGAAAAAGGTTTTGAACATTAGAACATTTTAAATCTCCTTTGGATAAAAAAAACAAAGTTTTTATATATTCTGTAAGTCTCCCTCATGCAGATTTTTTTGCTTTACACAGCCATAATACAGTAAATATATATATATTTTTATTAATAGCAAGGATATAATAAGTCTGGAAAGTATAAACAATCTGAAAATAAGTCTAGAAAATATATGGACCTTGAAGAAACACAAAAACTAGCAACTGACTGAATGTTAAAAAAATTAACCAATAAGCAAAACCTTAAATAGTGGAGAATACTCCAGAGAATTCTGAATAGTTAGGACTAGGTAAAGCACTCAAATCCAGTGTTTGGGTTTATTTGTGTTTTGTGGGAGGATGTTGAGTCAGTGTGTCCTGGGCTTCACATACTCACTTTCACACGCTTACTGACCTTTTGGTGCGTCCATATCAGTCTTTACCTCATTGCGTATAAAGTGTAGGCTGGAATGGTTCATATTTTATCATCAGAGAATGTTTTGACTGACGGCGGAATCCTGGGAGTCATCAATAGGACATCATGGAAGGATATGGTTATCATAAAGGGAGCTACAGAATCCTACATGGGAGCCAAACAGAATGTTCAGTTCAGTCTGCTTGCACTCCTAGTGCAGTGGTTTAATCCTTGAGATGTTCGAGCCCCTTTCACATTTCACAGTCTGTGCGTTCCCTGCACTCTTAGCATTCTTCCTGCTTCAGCTTTCAAAAGAGTCATATTCTACATTTATTTGTAGTCATTTTTTCCCTGATGCCCACTTCTAATATTTATGTTTTATGTACCAACAATTCTTTCTAATTCATTTTTATATGGTCATTTTCCAACCTGTCTTTATACCCTAGAATTAAACAGTATTTTTGTTACTGTGCCTTTAAGACTGCCATATGCAAATGACCTCTGTATTCACTGGCTGCTTTAAAAAAGCAGTCCAAGCTGAGACCTGTAAGAAAGTTTGGACTGAAATCCTCAGGAGCATCAGAAACAAAAATAAACTTCAGACGCTCCTTTTGGATGTCTGGATGCTTTGGAAGATTATACAAAAGGTGGTCATATGCAAATGAGTGCGTTTACATGCACTCAATAATCAGATCAGATAATCGGTGCATGTTCCAGTTTCTTAGATCGAAGTTACGTCTAGAAATCTGATTAAGAAATCCGATAAAGAGAGCTGGATTTTAGCCCAGTAATCAGATTTCTCAGTGAACTCTTACTCTGATTTCTTTCGGATTTCTCATGTGCGAAAACAGACTTGATTGCTGCGAAACACAGCAAAACACTTTTGGAGCAACACTGAAACCAAATACATGTCTGATGAAATGAAGGATTTAAATATTCTTCATCTTCTAGATGATGTATGCTCATATTTTCAGGTATAGTGGCGCGAGATTAAAAAAAAATTGCCTAAAGTTTGAGTTTTACATCATGCTTATGTCACGTCCTCTGTCAGTTTTTTGGCCGGTTGTAAACCAGAAATCTGATTACTGACTGACTCATGTAGACCCAGAGTTTCCCCATTATCTGATTACTCAAGTGCATGTAAACATGTTGATCAGATTACTGACAAAATCTGATTTTCTGCAGTTATCGGATTATTAAGTGCATGTAAAAGCACTCAATTTTTCATGGTTGTGGCATCACAACAATGCTGAACTAACAATGGGTCACAGCTTAGCTTCTGCATTTGGACTGTATCTACTGAGGAGTGAACAGTGTGTTTTGAAACCTTTTCAGGTCATCGAAGGATTCTTTTCCATGAGATGGCCCCTTTAAATGGTCAGACACCTATGTTCCACTGATAGGCCCACTGACCATCCTGGGGTCCCCTAAGTATCCTGCCCTCAGAACATCAGGAGCTCTAAGCCACAATGGCCTGTCAAATCGTGAAGTGTGAAAGGGGCTTGTTTATGTTATCCTGTCCTCGGGGCAGCAGCCCTCACTCACAGGACAGCGTGGATGTCCTCGTGGCGAAGCACTTTATATGTGAGCCAGTAGAAGACGTTGAAGATGAGGAAGCTGAGGGGGAAGACGGCACGGGAGATGGTGTCAATGCGTTTGGCACGGTCGATGAAACGGCGGCGGATCTCGAAGAGGGCGTGGCCGGGAGGCAGACCAGCAAATATGGCAGCCGTCTCAGAGAGCGGTCCATCTCCGGAAAGGAAAGTGTCCAGACCGTATCCGGGGAAGAAGAAATCCTGATTCTGCTGACCCAGCTGCTCCTCCTGGAAGGACAATCAGACAAGATCTCAGTACTACAGCGGACGTCTGAGGTTGTGCACCGTGTGGTTGGTGTCAGGCCCACCCATATTAAAAACTCAGGGTCTATGCCATGACTATCATGTCCTGTGGTAAACAACAAGTTCAAAACATGATAAATTTTGTCCTACATACATTTTTCCTCTGAATGTCACTGGATCCTCTGAATTATGAAGTTGTTCAGGAGCTGAAATATTAATTTTGGTAACATGCGAGCTAACGCTGCTGTGCACTGAGTTGACATCATAAGACTAACCTCACCAAAATAGTCCAAACAAACCAGCAAGTGTTGTCCAGTGTGGGTGTTAAGTGGCATTGGCAGTAGTAGAGAACATCAGGGTGAAATTATGTTTTATATAATAGTCCTGAAGTTGAATAGTAGACCTACATACATGCAGCGTTATTTCAGTGTGCTCTGTATGTCCAGTGACATACAGAGGAAGAATGAACGTAGGACAAAATGTATCAGGCTTGGAACCTTTTTGTTTACCGCAGGGCACCAAAGAGATGATTTTCCAAAACCTCAAACAAAAATCTAGCTTAGATACAAAGTTCATAACATGAGCATGACTGTAAATGCAGAAGGTCAGTGACTTGAGACTAGGGCTGCAATGATTAGTCAACAAAGTCGATTCTGAAAAAATGTCGAAATGGTTTTTTAATGTCAACACATTGTTTACTTTTTTAAGAAAGTGCTCCAAAAGTGTTAGAAATAATCACAGTCCTTCTGACAGACTCTAATACATAACATGAACTGTAGGGGGCGATAAGGTTTCTGTTGCCACACTTCCATTTACCATCAGAGGCACCATCTGATGTACTGAGGGGCCACCTGACTCGGTCAGCTGCATCAGACAAGGCCGCAGTCTCAGGGTTTGTGCTCACAATGAGCTGTGAACCAGTTGGTACTGCAGCTTTAATGACTGTAATATTTTCCAAATTCCAGGAGTGTCTGATGGTTGGAGGCACGAGTATAAGGGACACACATATGAGACAATTTTGATGAAGCTTAAATTGGCTTGTCATTCGAATTTTCCATTCCACCTTAAATCGTGCTTTCAGGGGCCTGTACAAGTGTCTGAATGTAACTGCTGCACTATTTAAGGTGGAATGGAAAATTTGAACACAAAGCTGGTGAACAGTCCAACTTAAGACCTGTAGAAATTCAGACATGAAACAACATTTAACGATGTTTTGCCAGGCCTGCAGGGCGAGTGTTAGAAAGCAATACTGACACTGGTTAATCCATATATTGTTCAGTTTTGTGTTTTACTGTTTTGCACAACAACAATACTTCAGATTTACTTTGGTTGTAACAAATGGTTATTATCAAAAAGTGAAGCGACTTCCCAGAATAATAAGCCACAGTGAACCAACAATAATAGGTTCAGTTAAGCATATAAAATGGTTTTACTGGAAAATATATATATATATACCTTAACATAAAGTGGCTGAAGCTGTCAGAAATTTGAATTATACTGTGATATATATTATTGACCATACCACCCACTACTACTTCAATAGTACAAAAAAAATGGCTTATTTATTAAGAGGTTTAACTGATTGATTCAAGAAAACAAATTAAATCAAATTAATGATTTTGATCAGCTACTTAATCAGCTGTGAAATAAAGGATAAAACCAATAAAAATGAAACCCTGCTGAAAAAAGACCATTAGAACTATTAAATTTAGCACCTGATGGTTTTGCTCTCTAACAGGAATTGGCTTAATAGGTACCACTGGTCACTGGTTTCCTGTAGGATACCTTTAGATTCTGTTAGGAAAACATCAAATGTATCTGGAATCATTCCATACCTGTTAAACCATTAGAGTCCTCCACACTGTGATATCAACCCATCAAGAAAACACAAAATATCATTACTGACTATTAGACATCACCAGAAACCATCAGAAACGTTTAATGGTTTCTATGAAAGCATTACAAACCTGCCCAGGGTAAACAAATGTATTATGCTGTTTTGTGAATTATTTTTCTTTTTATAAATACACGTTTAATGAGCAAAGTAACTGATTTGAGTGTTCATCCATTTGGAAAAACCTTTAGGAAAAAAGTTGTCTGTAGAACTTGCTTGCTGTAGCATTTTGCAGCTATATTAAACAGGCTTTACTACTGTACCTTGTCGTGATATAATAAAGTGCTTATTTCAAGAGTTCTTTAATGAAATAAGCTACCACAGATTTTATAATCTGGTTTCTCAGGAGACGCTGCTTTTTAGCCTTTAGCTAATTCAGCGTTTCCCAGCTTCATCAGAGTTTCATGTTATTCCTGCTCCATCACGCCTGACTCAGCTCACAATTAGCTTGTGACTCAGGTGTGTTTTAGCGCTGAGAAAACACAAAACTGAGCCATGCAGAAGGACCTCAGGCAGTGCAGTTGGGAAATACTGGGTTAGATTTTAAAAGAAAACGCCTCGAACAACAATGCTAACCTTGCTAATGCCGAATGAAAAGTGGAAGGTGCTGTTTGTAAAGTCTCCAGCTAGCCTCAGTCACCGTTAGCCACATTAGCACGGTTTGTGTTATGAACTCCTGTTTTTATGCAGTAAACTAGCTTATAAAACATAAACGATGAAAGAATGCATGTGGATCTGTGGAGCTGGAGACTAACGCTAGCATTCGGAGCTGTGATGTAGAAAAAGAGCAGTGATGGTGGAGGGAAAGACTGGGTTGGAAAGTGGCTCCAGGATATAGTTCTAATCACTGATTATGAACCTGCTGGCCATTTTTATAATCACTCATTGTGGCATTTGTGATGAGAAGCTGACACAGCATGACACATCAGCGAGGCATCTGTGTGTAGTGTACTGACTTTATATGAGTGTACACTATATGCAGTGTGTATGAGGTTTTCTCGTGTGTGTGTGTGAGAGAGAGAGAATCAGTTGACCGACTGTACCAGAGCCTTGTACCCTGACTCATGTTAGCCTTCATTGGCCTCTTTCATGAGTGACCTGGTTTTGACCAAAGGGCAGTTCTTATCTGGATGCTTCTAATATATAGCATCTGCTTTGTTGCTAGAACAGCTCATTAGTAGAAAGAGGCAACTGGACACACAGCAAAAAACATGTTACCACAATTTCACAACTCATGGGCTCACAATGATAAGGTAATTAGCTAACCTCTAAAAACGGCCATATCAATTTTAGCATATTAGCAGGCAGTATTGCTAGCTATTTCATCATCTCTGCAAAGCAAAGAAAAAGCTAGCTAGCAAATTCAAAGTAGTACTTTTTTATGAACAGTGATGAAAAACTGCTTGTCTAATGTCCCTCATAGAAATAGTTTCACGCTGCTGACTTTTTTTAACTGTTGATTTGCTCCTGCTCAAACTGTTTAAATGCATCATTGACCAAAGGCAAAAGTTTCTAATGTTCATTATCATTCAGATGATTTGTTAAGTGTTAGATTTTGACACTTCATTGTAGTCTTTTTAATATTTTTTTTTCTTTGAGGTAAAATTTACAAACTTTTTTCTTTTTCAGCTGAAAACTTGCTAGGTTTTTAGGCAAGATCTACACTGTAAAACAAAACCAAAACAATCTGTAAAAAAAAACAGAAAAAGTATGTTTTCTCAATGATGGTGAAAATCTGTAAAATAACAGTCATTTAATTTTTCAGAAATACTGCCGTTCACTGTAATTCAATAGTTTCACTACTGCAATTAGTTCTGACATACAGTATTTTACCATAGTAATAAAAGTAATAGCTATTAAAATAAATGCAAATGTCTGTAAAATAAAGGTTTTTGTTTTGGTCAATTTACTTTCTATTTCTGTAAATGAACAACAGCAATGTTACAACACAGAATTTTTTTTTATGTATCTAACCTTTTTTTTTTTTCAAAAAGAAGTATAAACAAGTAAATTTTACAGTAGTTTTTGTGGTGTAATATGGATAGTTCTAGGTTCACATTAGTACGTATACCACGCTTTACTACGCTGCCCGGTGGAAAATTGCCAATGATGTTAATGTATTTAAGCAGCACTCTGTAATATTGTTGAGATTTGTTCAAACTAAAAGAAGTAGCATTACTGAGTCATGATAATAAAAAACAGGCTAAAATATGGTGAGCGTGTCCTGCTGTAAGAGCCTGAAATATTCAAAGTCAAAGGCGTTAGTTTGGGAGTTTTTTTAACCACGTCAAATGTCTTTAAATTCTACCCTCACACACAGACTCAAAAAGAAGGTCTGGCTTGATGTTTAGGACTCAAATGATCTCAATCAACATTATACTGATGAAGGTATGATAGAATAATTCACTCACGTCCTCAGAAAACATGTTTCACCAAGTTTTGACCAAGTTCTCTTTGAATTCTCTTTCAACATGCTCGCAATCATCAGATTCATCCAATTGAGGGTCCGAAGAAAATAAAATGATTTTCCGGATTGTTTGTGCAATTGCACATTTCCACCAAAGAGGTCTCCAAATCCCCAAAACTTAGTGCAGCTTTAATCTGATGTTTCGGTTACTGAGGTTAACATTAGGGTTGAGTAAGGTGTGTGTGTGTGTGTGTGTGTGTGTGTGTGTGTGTGTGTGTGTGTGTGTGTACCCGTGCACAGGCGCTGCACTGGCGTTGTGTGTTCCTGCAGGACGTTGTGCTGCCTGTAACATCGTTGTTCTTGCCTTTCGTCTCGGCTCCCCCGAGCTGACCTGAAGCCTGAACAACACACACACACGCACCTTTAGTAAGAAACAGCCATAACACATCATTTATTCACACAGTAAAATTATTCTTCCACCTCCTCTTCTCCACTCAACACACACTCACACACAGCTCTGAATCGAGGTCACTGTGTACCCCAACACACACACATACTCATACACAGAGAATTGAAGATGACTCCTCACTTTGCTGATGCATCAGCTGGTCTTCAGACTCCCAGAGCAGCACAGCCGACCTCACATGTTCAAAGACACAAATACAGCCCGCAGCTACAAAGTAGCCGCTCAAAAGGGGGATATTTAAGATATTTAAAATGTTAACCAGACAGAAAGGAAAGTTTACAATCCAAAGCACCCAGCACAAATGTCAAGCCCTGCACGGCAAAGAAGAAAATAGAGTTTAAAAACTCAAAACAACCTGCTTTACAACAAGGACATCACTATTTCATGGCCATTATCATGGAGGCTCTTTATGTATGACAGACATTATGCTGCAAAAGGCCTTTAAAGCTGTTATTCTGGGCAGTAAGCACTTATTTATTCAAAAATAACTAACAAGCAAAAAAAAATAAAAAATAAAATATATATATATATATATATATATATATATATATATATATATATATATATATATATATAAACAAATAGTGACTACACTGTGGTTCTCCTCGAGTAAGTCAAGTATTCACAGTTACCAACTAATACCAGCTTTATATGAACAATCCTTCATTAAATTAAATCAGATGCGCTGCTGATGAATTCAAAGTGTAATTCCACTGATTTGCCAATAGTACCTCTCCACTGTTAATGTGTTAAAAAGTTCCATTTTAAGCCAAATTCTGATTTCAAATCTGTCGTAAAATAAATCATCAGTGTATTTACATCCACGTCATGGAATATCATGTAATAAAAATCACCAGTTAAGGATGTAGATGTGCACGTGTGAACATATCACGTGCGGCGAAAATAAACATTATATCTCGCATAGAAAAAACAGTAAGCTAATGATAGCATTTCGCTAGCTGAGGTGCTGTCACGCATCCCTCCAGAACTGACTCTCTAGAGAACTCCAATTCCCAGATCTCCCTTGGTGATCACATGACTGTCACACCACCATCCACAGCCAATCGTCATTCCCCTTCACCTGACTAATGATCTGACACACCTGTTTTGTTTGTCATATGACTTGTGATATTTAGTATATAAAGTCCAGGCTTTTAGTCAGATCTTTGTGAGGTATTGTCTCTTTCTCTTGAGCTACTGAGCTACTGAGCTGTTGAGCTGTCTTGCTTGTATTGCCTTTTTGTGTATCAGACTGTGTTTTTGGATTTTTGACTCTTGTGTTTACCTGCTTTTGTCATGTTTGTCCCTTTTGCATTTTTGGCTTGTTTTCTGACCACAAGTTTGGATCACGTTCTAACCAGTAAAGCCTCCTTTTCTAATTTTACGCACAAGCATGTGGTTAGTTGTGTTACATTGCAGGTGCTTCTGTTATTAATTGTATTCCAAACATTAAAATAGCTCAGACTAAAAAAACCTGGGGGGGTGGTTAGAGGGGGCACACCTTTGTTGGCGGATTTCACCACAGTTCAGCACCAACAGTTTAACGAGTTGCCCCCAGGTGTGTATTCTCATTTTTGAGATCAGGTCTGACACCATAAAAGTATTCTATTATTTCATTTGCTAGAAGAAAATGACGGATTTATATGTTAAACATTCTTCTTTTCTAATTTGCATGAGTTTTGTTGTTTTGTTTGCTTCTGAGTCTCTGACGTTTCTGCTTTGTGCATGGTGTGCATTGTGTGTGTGTGTGTGTGTGTGTGTGTATTTGTGTGTGAGAGAAAGACCTGTTTTTGCCCAGAGGTAAGTGTGTTTCTTACTGGGAGATGTATTCAGTTCTGTGTGTGTGTGTGTGTGTGTGTGTGTGTGCGAGTGCAAAATTGTGTGCAGGTCAGTGCTTGGTGAGTAAGTGTGTATGGGATCAGACAGTAGAGAAATTCCTATCCACCTATTTTATGTGAATTTTAAAAATGAGCACTAATGAAAGCTGGCTGGAAAAGCCAAAAATTCAGAAAATTGCCTAAATACCATGCATGGATGAGAGAAATGCGTTGGTTTATTGATAAAGGCAATATTTTTCAAATAAGTGATACTGAGTGTGTTTACATGCACTCAATAATCCGATCATAATCAATGCTGCTGTTATCTGATTATTCAAATGGTCGTGTAAACAGCACACTCTGATTTCCTAGATTGGAATAAGGTCTAGATATCCGATAGAGCTGGATTTTAGTTCAGTAATCAGATTTCTCAGTGCATGCATGTTTCACATGTGTGAAAACAGACTGAGGTACCGAAAATAGGCAAGCAGTGTCGCCACGAGACGCAGCAAATCACTTTTGGATCAACGCTGAAATCGACTACATGCTTGACGAAATGAAGGATTTAAATATTCTTCATCTTCTAGATGATGTGTGTTCATATTTTCAGGCACAATGTTTAAAAAAAAAAGCCACAGCATGAAGTTTGAGTTTTACATTACGTTTTACATTGAGTTTTACGTCACGTCTTCTTCTGTGAGTTTATTGGCTGTTTGTAAAGCAGACATCTGATTACTGTCTGACTCATGTAGACCTGGAGTTTCCACATTATCTGATTACTCAAGTGCATGTAAACACGTTGATCAAATTACTGACAAAATCTGATTTTCTGCAGTTATGGGATTATTAGATTCATGTAAACGCACTCAATGTGGTGGGAACGAAAGTCATATATATCCACTCCATCTAACAATAACAAACATAGAAACAAAGGAAAACCATTGGCTTCGTCTCAAACTGTATTTGCTGTACTTAACACTACATCAAACTATCACTAGTACTAGTATTACATGCTGTTTAGTATGATAGTATATGAATTGAGACACAGCCATCAGCAATACATTTGGACTGACATTTGCCGGGGTTTCGCTAGGTGACAGCAAAATGTGACTTCAGCCCTCATTAAATGTGTCACTATTCACGCTACTCGGCCTCTCTGAACTGTTAACGTACAAACACATTAGGATGTGTCAACTCACTAATGTCGCTGCAAGTTTGTATCTTCGAATGCATTCGAGGCCGCTGATGATGGCACACGTGGGCATGTACACTGTCCAGCTTCTAACAAGAACATGTAAAAAATAAAAACATACAGTTTTTAATCATGTTACAGGGGTTGGTGAATATAGTGTGAGGAGTTCTGTCTAAAGACTGTTAGTGCTGTAGCCTGGGTAGGGAATTGAACCCCAGTCAGCTGCATGAAGCTGCAGTTTAGTTTAAAATATATAAAAAGTTTACAAGTTTCTAAGTTCCGTTTTTGTGAAGTACTATTGGGAATAGGAATGAAAAGTTCAAAGAGCAGAGGCTCGATTTTGTTCCTGCTTTATCATCTCTAATTTGAAAAATATCACTGCTCTGGGAACAAAACCTCGTATCTTTTTTTTTGACATTATTTGAAAATGCCTGTTGCTCTTTGCGTTGTTTGTAAATTTCATGATGAATGTACCAAAAGAAATGACCCAAAATTACTAGGAAAGAATTCTGGTTCCATTGACTTACAATAAAAGTAAAGCATGTTTTTTTCTTCACCTGTAAAGTTACCGATTTTTTGTTATCATGTTTTTGTCAATGCTTTTCTCTTCTACCGATAAACCAACTCTTTCACCTCATTCAAGCGTATTTTTTGTGACATTTAGTTTTTTTTTTTTTCATTTCTTTTCCATCCTGTTTTTTAATGCACATTTTCCACATTTGCTGAAGAAAGTGAATGGAAACCCTGTGTGTATGTGCTGCTGTGCTGCCTTTACGCATGCTTGCCTGCATGTGCCTAACAAAGCTGCTCTGGGGCAGGTAAAGGCAACACAGCTCCACCTGCTCACACACACAGACACACGTACACACTCTCCCCAGTGGGTCAGCGTGCCCTGCAGGAGGATGGAGGGATGATGCGGGGGAGAGGAGTGGAGGAGAGGAGATTATTTCTGCTTTCTGCTCTCTCAGGCTGCGAGTCCCCGAGCAAAAAAGCCTCTAAAGTTTCAACATTTTTTACCAACACTTCCAGAATCTTCACACACTTTCTGATGTGCAGAGTCAGAGAAACCTTTGGAAAGAAAAAAATCCTCAACAAAACAACTTAAAGGGTCCATTTCATGAAAACCCTTTTTTTTTTTAAAGAAAGGTTGATGTAGGATGTAGACATTAAATATATCAGTCACTCCCCAGTTTGTACAGTCCATATATGGAAACCAAGCTGCAAAAAAAACAGTCCCTTTTGAATACATCATGGTTGTGATGTAATGACCACACACACATAATACCACCCATTCTGCCATGGCAGTCTAGTCCCGCTTATTCAGCCTACAGCAGCTGTTAACCCCACCCATTCCTAATTAAGTGATGCAAAGTGTTGTTCCTGCGGACAGCCTGCAGCAGAGTTATTGGAGTGAAAGATGCAGGAAATTGATTAAATGTTGTGCTCTTCCTGGCTGTCGGGAAGCAACAGTTGATCACTGCAGTCTTCCAAAGAATCCACATGTCCAAAAGGTGTTAAATACTTTGGTCCACATTTCATTCCACAATTTTCCAAGAGGTCCAGAGTGCTTTTTGAAAGAGGCACAAAAACAGGGTAGCCAATCAGCACAGAGCTCAGCCATTTTAATTCTAAGGGATGAACAGAAGTTAGTCTATATTTACTTCAGTTCAAATAAAACTACATAAATGAAATTCACTCAAAAAAACTAAACTACAATAAAATGCAAGGAAAAAACAGAATATAAGCAAATACTGTGTTTGACTCCAAGAAGCATTTACACTGCCTTTAGTAGAGAGAGTTCCACAGTTGTATGACTTCATTAGCCAAGAGGGGAAAGAAAACGTGGCCTTTTGCTTTGGCCTATATTTCCGTGGCTGATGGAATGCTGGATTATGCAGATGTGTGATTCCATAGAAGCGCTATGGCATGGCAGAGCAGCCTGATGCTCTCGAGAGACAGATAACTAGAGTTGCTCTCTTCCCAAGGCAATGGGGGGGTGGGGTCTACAGGAGACAGACGTGCCTGTGAACAGCCCACAGGTGTGTGTGTGTGTGTGTAAATGTGTGTTACTCACAGCTCGCTGCCGCTGTTCCTCTCGTAATCTCCTCCTCAATCTGAAGAACTCTTTGTGTTGCCGAGAGACAAAGTTTACGGCAGCATATTCCAACAATGCGGCAAATACAAACAGCAAACACACCGCCATCCAGATATCGATGGCCTTCACATACGACACCTGCAACACACAAAGTAAGTAACTGTAGCAATACAATTTATCACATTGTCTCGTTCAAGTTGAGCAAACAACACTTTCAACACACACACAGATTATCTAAGCCTCTTATCCTCCTGGGTGGTGGGGGTGCCAGAGCCTGTCGCAGTGTTCACTGGGCAGAAGGCAGGAAACACCCTGGACAAGTCACCTGTCCATCACAGGGCATATGAAGATAAGAGGTAGCTGAGTTTGTCCAGTTTGCAATGAAGAACACTAGTACAGGCAATATTCAGGCCTGAGGCCTTGTTCACACATGCTTCTGCATGGTGTCAGCAACCTGGCAGCATGAGCACTATGGCTTGAGCATGCTGGCCTTTCATACATATAGCGTTTGAGCTGCGGAGCAGTGAGAAAGTTATACAGACATTCCTTTTTCCAGAATAATAAAATAAAGTTTAAATTAAAATATAATTTATAAAAGTACGCAGCATATTTGTTTATCTTCGACAGCATTCTGACTTGTGACTAGGCAAAAGTTTCAAGCTTGACAGACCAACCAGGAAATCTGTTTGCAGCATGGAATGTTTAACTAGTGTTCCGTCATGAATTAAATTAACATGAAAAAGATGGTATTTTTAGGTTTGTATATGGTTTTCTATTTAATCTATTTAATTTTAACTGATTTTCATGGCTTATTTCAGTGTATTATGCTGTGACACCGGATCTATTCTCTAAATACTGCACCACTTCAGTGCGGCATCTGGGACACTCTGCTGCTTCAAATGCGCAGCCTGTGTGAAAACACTGACCAGTTAACATGGGTGACACAGCATGTGTGAATCAGGCCTTGCAGTGGCTGCTGCTACCGTTTTTAGCAATGCGATGTACATTTGTCCACATTTGTAGATAACAGTAGGTGTCAGAAACCACATAAGCAAGTCTGTTCAAGACACATTTTCAGGCAAGTATGTTATGATATAGGCAAGCAGTTGGCACCAAGCTGATTGGTGTACATAAACCTCCATTGCTTGTTAGCAACATTAGCCTCATAGCTCCAGTTCAAAACCAAAGAAGCAAACTTCAGACAGCAAACATTTTGGCTGATTGACTTCATATGAAGAAAGGGAGAAATTGTATACATTTGATTTTTTTGACAAACTATTCTTTTAACCCATTTTCACAGTGTTGATTCAGTATTATTTGAGATCCTTCAGTTGAATGATGCATGTTTTTTCTTCAATATCATTGCTGGAATTGTTGGAAAGTGTATGATTTTCAAAACCAGAAGTGAACTGGATTTTCATCTTTATATGTGAGTAAGCAAGGTGTGAATTGTTTTACCCCTCATTGCTCAATAGCAGCTCAACACAGACTCACAACCTTTCACACACAGAGAGACAACTGTGTCCTAGTTCATCTGACAACAGAGTTATAGGCTTAATATTTTATTTGACTACATTAGTTAAAAAATTATCCAAGTCAATTTCCATTCCAAAAGCAGAATGGCCACTAGGGGGCGTGTCAAAAAAGCCTATGTTGCAACCAAATTTTGTAGATTTCCAGCTTTGGGCAGCTTTGTATTACATTCATTCCTGAATTGCTGTGCAAAGTTACTTTAAAAATTACAAAATTCTATAGTTTTTTGGAAAAAGCACTTTTTCTATAAATTAAATGAATGTAAAATTGCTGTTTCCACCTCACTATACTTTCATTTCAGTACACATTCTGAGCAAGTAGAAGAGCAAACACACTGTCTTTCAGATATTTTTAGCTTTTAAACAGAACAACCCCACATCAGAGTTAATACATACCGAATGAATTATACAGATATTAAATATTTACTGTACATATAAAATCTGAGCTACACATGCAGCCATGCATATTAGGACTCTATATAGGACACTCACAGCACATGCATGCACATGCACATGTTCCCATCATGTAGTGAGACGTTAACCCTAATCACACTGATGACACTCTTATCTGGAGTGACTTAAAGATGCCAGTTCAAGGACAAACCCCTCAGAGCAGAATGGGCATTACGAGTCGAGCTGAAGGGCGTGAAGGCAGCAGCTAAACGCTATCAGCTACAATCAAAGCCATGACCTACTGAATTATAACTGAGTTCTCTGAGCAATGAACTAATAACCCCCCACAACACATTGCTGGATGGATGGATGGATGGAGTAAATAAGGGATTGATAGGATCATTGAAGAATCAATAAGATGGTTGGTTGGTTGCATGGACAGTTGGGCAAAAGGATAAGTGGGTAGATGGATGGATGGATGGATGGATGGATGGATGGATGGATGGATGGACAGAGAAATAAATGGTTGGATGGATGGATTGATGGACATATTAATGGATGGAGGAATGGATAGGTAGATGGAAGGATGGTTGACTTAATGCCCTGTGGTTACAGTACTGTAGATGGAGGGATGGATGAAAGGACAGATGAACAGATGGAAGGATGCATGGGCAGACTGATTGAAAGGTGGATAAATAAAAACATGTTTGAAGAAATAAAAGCATTGATGGTCAAACAAATGAGTGGAGAAAACAGGGGATGCACGGGTCAACTGGTAGACATTTGGATGGCCTGATGGCTGGGTGGATGGTTAAATTGATGGATGAAAAGAGGGATGAAAGAAGAAATGATGTGTGGAGATATTCCACTTTGGCTAGAGATGGATGGAGAAGTGGTACTGATATTGATACCCCACATTGGGAAGTGAAACTCTGGAGCCAGAGCTCTGAGTGGTCAGTGATTTGGTGATGGTTTGGATGGATGGATGGATGGATGGATGGATGGATGATGCTTTGTATGGATGAATGGAAGGATGTTTAATGGATAAATGGACAAATGGGTGAATAAATGCTCTATGAGAACAGTGCTGTGGATGGAGGGATGAAATGATTGGACAGATGGAAGGATGCATGGGCAGACTGATGCACAGGTGGATAAATAGAAGGAAGGATGCAGAAACGAAGTGATTGGAAAATCAAACCCCAGCTTGGGAAGTGAAGCTCTGGAGCCAGAGCTCTGAGTCATTAGTAATTTGGTGTTGTTTTGGATGGATGGATGGATGGATGGATGGATGGATGGATGAAGGGATGGATGGATGGATGGTTGGTTGGATGGTTGGAGAAGTAATTTCATATTGATACTGTAACTCAGTGGTGATGCTCTGTAGCCTAAGCTTTGAGTGGGCATGGTCAATATACTGGTGATGCTCTTTATGGATGAATGGAGGAGCGTTTAATGGACAGATGGACGGATGGGTGAATAAATGCTCTATGGGTACAGTGCTGTGGTGGATGGAAGGATGCATGGACAGACTGATGCACAGGTGGATAAACAGAAGGAAGAAATTAAGTGATTTGAAAATGATACCCCACCTTGGGAAGTGAAGCTCTGGAGCCAGAGCTCTGTTTCATCAGTTCTGAATGGATGGATGGATTGATAGATGGATAAGTGAAGAAAAAAAGGGATTGATGGAATCATGAGTGATCATGGTCAGTATAGTTGTGATGCTCTGAGTAAATGTATGGATGGAGAAGTGATTTAATATTCATACTCCACCTTGGACAGTGAAGCTCTGGAGCCTGAGCCATGAGTGGTCACGGTTGGCGGAGATGCTCTGGATGGATGAATGGATGGATGGATGGATGAATAAATAGAAGGGATTATGAAGAACTGATTTAATATTCATACCCCACCTTGGGCAGTGAAGCTCTAGAGCCTGAGCTCTGAGTGGCCATGGTCAGTACAGTGGTGATACCCAGCCCCACTCGGGCCGGTGCAGCATCCATGTTGATCCAGAAGGAGACCCAGGACAGGATGACGGTCAGCAGGCTGGGGATGTACATCTGGATCAGATAATAACCCATCTGCCTCTCCAGGTGGAACTTCACCTCAATACAGGTGAACTTACCTGCAAAAAACATACACAGACATACTGACTGGTGCAATACTTTTCAAATTTTCTTATTATTATTCAGACATTTGGTCCTCACAAAGGGCTAAATACAAAACACACCCTCTCTCTCTCTCTCACACACACACACACACACACACACAGAGTGCTCTCTTCCTTAAAAGGTCTAAATTCATTTAAATTCATTCAGTATGACACAAAATTGCCACAAGAAAACAGGAGCACATTGTGACCTTTTTATATGTATATTTGTGGGTAATGAGTGACACAGATTTTTAAAACAAAAAACACCCAGTACTGTATCTTTTCATACATCCTATTATAAAACGTTGGAGAGAAAATTGCCATGAAATTATTACAGTGCGTATGCTGTGTTTTGTAACTGTCAGCCTTCTTAATCATAGTAATTAGTGACAATTGCCATTTGCACATGCATAAACAGAAGAAAGGGTAAATGCTTTAATTTGTGTGTACCGGTGTTATAATGTTTAGTGCAGTATCCCAGATCTTTCTCCTCTTTGAGCACAAACTGAGGCAGCATTAGATCATCAGCAACTTGCACAGGGCCGTTATCCAACCACTGAAATATCAGATCATTCATAGTGTAACCAACTGCAGAGAGAGAGAGAGAGAGAGAGAGAAAGAGAGACAGAGAGAGAGAGAGACAGAGAGAGATAGAGAGAGAGAGATAGAGAGAGAGAGAGAGAGAGAGAGAGAGAGAGAGAGAGAGAGAGAGAGAGAGAGAGAGAGAGAAAGAGAGACAGAGAGAGAGAGAGACAGAGAGACATAGAGAGAGAGAGAGAGAGAGAGAGAGAGAGAGAGAGAAGAGAGACAGAGAAGAGAGAGACAGAGAGAGATAGAGAGAGAGAGAGAGAGAGAGAGAGAGAGAGAGAGAGAGAGAGAGAGAACATTGTCTGAACATTTCATGACAAACAAATCAGTGGAAACAGTTCAAACTTAAAAGGGATAAAATCTTACTACTTAGAAACTTATCTAAAGAGCCAAAGTAACTACAGCAGTACTAAGATATCTAATTAACCTTTTAACTGTCACCTCATTTTTGCCTGAAATGGCATATCCAAAGGCAAAGGACCACTGTTTCCACATACTGTGGGCTGCAGTCTTGATCTTAGTCTCGTTTGAATGGTAACACTCTCAACTCTTTTTCCCAACCATCAGAAACATTGTATGAATTACTGACACAGAGTAACAGCTAAAATAACCAGAGATGTACCAATGTACTTAACTAAAGTACCTAAAAAAGTACTGAAATACTTCACTAAAGAACTAGAGTAACTAAACTTGTACCAAGATACTCAACTACCGTTATTTAAGAAGTGCTAAGATACTTAGCTAAAGAAGTCAAGTAACTAAAAAAGTATTAACATACTTAACTACTGAACTAAAGTAATCAAAGATGTACCCATGTATTGAACTAAAGTACCTAAAAAGTACTAGGATACTTAACCAAAGAACTAAAGTACATAAAAAAGCTTTAACATACTTAACTAAAGAAATTAAATAATTAATGACATACTAAAATACTTAAAGCGCTAAAGTACTCAAAGATGTACCAAAGTACTTCACTCAGGTACCTAAATAGTACGAAGATACTTAGCTAAAGAACTACAGTAAATGAACTAAGTTATGAAACACAAAGATAATTAAAGTAAGTAAAGAAGTACTAAGATACGTAGCTACAACAAACTAATAAAGATAACTACTAAAGTACTGAGATATTTAACTAAAGTAACTAATGAAGTATTACGATTCTTAGACTGTAAAAAGTGTAACATGGCTGGAGTTCCTCTGAAGTGCTTTTGAAGTTTTAATTGATGCAAAATATAGATTTTGTTCATCTAATCAAAAATTTTGCTTTGTATTGTTTCGTATTTAGTACTTATTTAAATTGAGTAAAACCAGTTCAATTGCTCGTTACACATTAAGCATTTTTTAGTCTGAACTGGTGAACCTTTTTCACAGTGGAGTTAAGTTGATGTACCAAGTATTAATTTCAGACTGTACCATGTATCTGTACAAGAGGCAGCAAAAGACCTGCACATGGAACAGAAATGAAAAGAAAAGACAAAGTGAAATGAGGCTCACAGCTCTCAAGCTGCATGGTGCAGGTCTGAATGTCCATGGGGAAATTCTTCAGATCCATCGCACAGGACAGAATCAGAGTCAGCCTGAGAGAGAGAGAGAGAGAGAGAGAGAGCGAGAGAGAGAGAGAGACAGATTTACACTGTCACATCCTGAGACAGGTACACACACATGCTGTCACGCAGGTGTGTGAGCACTGAGGCAGGTGACAGGCAGCAGGTGCTGGTGGATCTGAGCAGGTGTAAAAGCAGGTAAAGGCAGACCAGCTGGACAGCCTCATACGTCCAGACACTTAGCAATGAATCCGTCAGACGCAAACAACTCAACATCTACATAAACACTCAGTAAAAATGAATAGATCCCCACTCGCTGTATGATTACAGACTCACAAATTCACTAAGATGGTGATTTAAAGCACAGATTAGAGGGCAAAAAGGCAAGTAAATTTCTCGTCTATCACACAAAGCTGGGAGGATGAAGGCCAGCGCACACTTCCTTAAAGACACGGGAAGCTCCATCACATTTTCTCAAACTGCCGCTAACGTTACGTCACTGGACAGCTCAACACGCTTGGATGAGAACACTAAGTGTTAATTCTGTTACATCAGCTAACAGAAGCCCACACTGGCTAGCACTGCACTGAGTGGTGGTATTAAAGGGTGGTCCATCCTACCCACCCGGAGAGAGAGAGGACAGTAATGCTCTCCTGGACTCCTGGCCTCGGACTCTATCTACTGATGATAGGAACATCTAAAACAGGGGTTGGCATATGCTCCGGAGCCACATGCAGCTCTTTTACTGTCCTGTTGTGGCTCCACAGCTGAATTAGATTTGTAGGTAAAAATAAAATAATCCTCCTTTACAGTAAAATAAAGCTCTGCTGATCGTTCAACTCAGTTTAACAGTAAATGGTCTTAAACGCTGGAGTTAATGTAGAACTGCTAATTCACCCTTTAACCCTGAAGAACCGTGCAGACTGCTGGTCACCATAGCAACACAGACAACAATCTTGCCTAGCTAGTAGCTAACGAAACGGCAAAGAGAGAGATTTAAGATGAACATCGATAATTTAGAACAAATGGACTTATTTGCATTTATAATCACTCCAGCTGGATTCCTGATATGTTTAATCTGCAACAAGAAACTGTCAAAAAGCTGAAGTCAGTTTCCCGTTCTAATTCTCCCGTTGCACCTTAAATGGTGCAGCAGTTACATTCTGGCGTCTCAGGCACCATTTAAGCTGGTGAATGAGAAGTGACTTCAGCCTCATAAAAAAAGTCGAATGTTGAGAGACACAAACTGTTCTACTTTTGTTGAAAAGTTTCCCGCCAGAGATCAGAGAAAAGTGTCTATAACTGAGCTAAAGCATAAAGCAGAGCAAAGTAAGTCTGTGTTTTCGTTTATATTATATTTTGTAGCCTATACTAGGACATCAGCACATACTGAGACATATGGTAAAAAAGATGGTAAAATGGACATAAAATGTTGTGGCTCCCAAAGTGGACTGATTTTTGTTGAAAGGACAAAATGGCTCTTCTGAACATTTGGGTTGCCAACACCTGGGCTAAACGATTGTGCCATTCAAGAGACTCTTAAAAAGATGGTTCTTTAAGGGTTCAGACATTGGTTCTATATAGAATCATAAACACTCAAAGAACCATTTGCATGCTCTTCATGAAATGTTTCTCCACATTGATGAAGAATGTGTTGTATATGGTTCTATATAGCAACAAAAAGGGTTCTTTTACTGTTAAAGCTTGACATCGTAACAATAGCATAAATAATATAGAACCCTTTTCGAAAAGGTTCTATATAGAACCATATACATTCTCCAACAACCTAAAGAACCATTTCACCATGCAAAGAACCCTTTAGGCATGCAAATGGTTCTTTGAGTTTTCATGGTTCTATACAGGATCACTGCCTTTATTACAGGACCCTTGAAGAACCATCTTTTTAAGAGTGTTCTATAGACACAGTATACAGTATCAGAAGGTTATTAACTGTTCTTTAATTTTATTGTTATTAAATAATAACATTATTAACCAGTTAACCACCTTTTAAATTAGGTGAAGTCTTTCACCTGATTTTGTTCAGTTATGTTTCATGAAAAAATTGGGTATTTTGATGTTGTTCTATCATTCTCTCTAACATTTCAAATCATTCATTCTGTGCAATCTGATACTGTACAATGCTAAGAAGCTGTAATACCCTTGGGGGCCAGTAGGGGGCAAAGAGGTGGTTCTAACCTGATGCTGTAGAGCACATTTCCATTTTGGAAGATTCTCAGCAGCTTGTTGTCGGTGGTGACCTCGTGGAAGTTGGCGCCCTTCTCATTGGCAAAGAACAGGTCGGGCTTCCAGATGGAATCCAGCATGGAGGGATCCAGATCCAGAGAGTCGTCCGGATACTCTTTGTAGGCCAGCCGGGGGTCATTCCACTGCTGCCGTAGAAACACGTTCAACCGGTAATCCTGAGGAAGTACGATGGGTTAAAATTTAGATCACTTATCTTACTTAGTTGCTAAATTAGTGGGATATAAGCTTCCATTACTTGTTAGCTACATTAGCCAGGGCAAAACTAGGGAGGCAAACTTCAGACACCAAATCATGGCTACATAATATTGTGGCGTCTGGCACAGGATCCGCACGGCCATGAGGCTTTAAATCTGACATTAACTACTGCTGAGATTAGCTCTGGTGTTATTATATTGATATCAAGCGAGCAATTCATCCAAAGCCAGCTAACACCACCAAACATAAATGCGCAGAATAAGACAGAACATCTTGTGACATCTTGTTGTGACATCACAACCATGATAAAATGTATCAAGCCTGGAGACAGGCTAGTTTTTCAGCTTAGTTAACCACATATAGACTGTGACATTTCAAAATTTGAACAGGGTTGACATAGTACAACTAGTTTATTACCAAAAAATGGAAAAATTGAGTTTTCCATAACACAGGCCCCTTAACATGCCCCTTCGCTACAGTGTACCTCTGACGTTGTCTGATTTAGTCATCAGGATTTGCTCTTGCTCTGCCAAATTGCTATAAATTACTCTGGTTAGTATTGAGTCGCTCACAATCAGCTGAGACTGATCCACTCTGCTTATATGTCTCTCCTGCTGTTTATTTCATGTGCTGAAGCCGAGAAGCGTGCGACAGTAATATGACCTTTGTGAGCATGTTAGCGTGTGTGTGTCCCACATGCTCCATTATTCATAGTGGGGTCTCTCTGTGTTTCTTAGCATGTCTGCTGGTCGCTCTGCGGTTTAGAGGTGGACCAACTTGGTGTAATGCAGAGTGACACATGGTGGTCCTGTGGCAGTGCTCTGAACACTTGATAGGAGTGTGGGCATGTGTGTCTGTGATGGCAAGACAGATGCTAAAATTGGAATGAAGAGTGTGTTTCACGTGTCTATGAGTATTTTTAACATTGCAAGATCCAAATATCTTCAAAAATAAAATAAATATATAGAGAAAAACTTGCCATTTTCCACTTTCCTCAGAATCTGCTTATTAAAAGTAATAAGCAATCTTTTTTGAAATAGACCACTGGACTGCTGATAAGCAAACAGACTCAGTGTCGCAGAGTGGTGTTATTTATTTGTTTTCAATGCTGTGCAAAAGTCATTCATTTATTTAATTTCCAGTCAAAATGGCCATTAAGGACAAGTTCTATATCAGTATTTAGTGTTTCCACTCCTCACCTCACCTTCAGTTTCTCAAAGAATCTGCAGATACACCTCCAAAGTTCAGTCTTAGAAGTTGGTCGATGTTTTTTTTAGTAATCCAACACATTCAGTGATGTTGAGATCTGGACTCTGGGGTGTTTATCTCTTATTCTACTCAACAATATGATGAAAATCTCTGTTGCCATGCTCACTACAAGTAATCAGATCCAAAATTACGCGCATACATAAAGAACCACTTAGTGTAGACGTTACCATGACAACTAGCATCACGTGAGTCCAGTCAGAGAGGCCGAGAGGAAGACATCGTGTTCTAAAAACATGAGCTGGACGTCCGTCCCACCGCCGTCTTTTAAAGATCAGAGCATAAACTTCGTCTCCTCTGCAGACCAGTTTCTGCTCCGCCATGTTGAACGGTATAAACTTTCACTATGACGCGACGAACACGATCAGAACGGACTTAAACTTTCCGATAGGGAATGTAATCAGATACAGGCGTTTACACGGTTATTATTTTTCTATTTAATGGATTATTTACAGGATTACTCACCTCGTTCAATCAGATAGAAACTGTACTCCAAATGTTCTCAATCGGACTAGACTATTCTGACTGAGGTGTTTACAAGGACATATTCTATTCTGAATGAGCTATTAGTCAGATCATTAATGGACTATTAGGCTGCATGTAAACGTGGCTAGTGTTTGATAGCTAGTTTAGCTTCCACTGGAACTACATATAATTGTACATGTACTTATTCTGCACTACAGAATGATATTTACTATTTAATGAGCTTTCTTATTTTGATTCTGATCTGTATGCTTTAAGATCTATCTTTACATTGACTATTACATTACTATTAGGCTGGTAAGTCATCACAATGTTATGCATGTAGCCTTCAAATGTACTGAAGACCTTTTTGTGTACTTTGTCTCTGAAGATTTGGATACATTAATCCTATATGACTAAGAACTGCATTAAATGGTTTACACTTGCCATTGAAAACTCAATATTTTCAGATATAGCAACAGAAACTAAGGGGGCGGGGCTTAGTGGAAGGCCAGTTTCTAAATCTGCTGCAACTATTTTTGATTTACACTTTGTTTTTAAAAGCAAAAGAGCTCCAAAAGTTTTAGCACCCCGATCAAATTCCATGTATTTGCTGATTGTCTGAGTGAAAATAAGTTAACACACGCTCTTCAGAGAACACACCTCTGCACATTATAATGCACAATTACTATTTATTTGCTGACACTTGAAGAAGATTAAAACATAAAATGTGGCCTGTGCAAAAGTTATGACACACTGCCATATTTAAGTTCCCTGTAGAGGTTGTCTTGACTTATTATCACAATGAAAGCTTGACTGAGGGTGTCCAAACTTTTGTGACAGTGTGGTTAAATTTGGGTTTAGGTTTACCATAGTCGTCTCAGTGACGGAGCCGAAGCTGTTGATGAAGATGTTGCAGGTGACGTTGACAGGAGGCCCTGAAAGAGACAAACACACACACACACACACACACACACACACACACACAAAACACACACACATCCATAAACATAAGTCCCCTACCTGTCATTCTGTGTAAAATACAAATGATTCATCCACACACACACACACACATTCACTCTGTCACACATCATTACGGGAACCTGTGACTGATTCAGTACCAATATTCTTACTCCAGTAAACAAAACATAGTAAAGAACGTTGTATGTGTCGCTGCTCAGATTACACATTTGGTTGATTCTCTAAGATTCTCTAAAAGAGGTTGACACCATCTCTCTGCATGGAATGTAAATATGACATATTTCTGCAATTTTACAGCACTGATATTATTTGTTTGCCAATGTGGAGGAGGGGCGTGGTTGAGCATCACATGCAGGATGGAGAGCAAGTCATGATGAACCAGCGGGCTGAGTAGTTGATAGGATTCACATATGCCTTGTATCTGCCGGGCTACTTATAGCCATGCCTTTTCTCAGTAGAGGGGCAGAGCCTAGAGAGAGAAGGAGACTGGTGGAGATTTGATTCGATTCGATTCAGTTCAGTTACTTAATCTGAGTCAATTGTAGACAATTCCAGAGCATAATAATTTCTGTGAAACTTCTCAAGATTACACCCAACAGCATGGCTTACTGTGCAGCTTTCACTGTATTTTGTGTTTTGTTTACTAATACATTTGTTCTTACTTTCTTTTCTGTTGAATGGTCTTTTGGTTGCTGTCTGTTCTAGTGTATTTTTTTTTTTTTACTCCTCCTACATGTTCTGTTGTCAGTTTGTAAAGCGACCGTGAGCTTGGGAAAGATGTTATATAAATAAAACTCAACATTATTATTATAATTATTATTATGGGTTCATCAAGCAGATAATGGACAAGAGAAAACTTTCTGCTTGTTATTTTCATTTTCTGAAAGGTCATTTTAGAGATCTGATTACATTTTGCAGCTAACGTTGGAGGACTCCAACATTATATGATGGCTAAATTATTGACATATCGGATTCGATATCGGATTTGATATTTGAATGCTGAGCACTAAAGCCTAGCTAGCTAACTTCTGGACCATACTTCTGAAAGTGAGATCACTCAAGCACCTGTTATGAGTCGGCATGCTCATATTTGCGAACACTGTGGACTTATTATATGTCACATCTGGGAAACACTGTGAGGCTTGATGACAGGAGGGGTAGCTAACGTAACACTGAGCTAACATTTCATTTTGTTCCTACAGTTAAGGTGGACCACTAGCTACCGCGCTCTCTTGAATGAAGTTCATTAGCAGTAGCAGTAAGTAGGAAACAGCTATGCTACAAACAATGATGTAATACTCCTTAGTAACAAGCACCGTTCTCAGATTCAGAACAGCTTAAATAATCTGCCTGCTGGGAGTTTTGTCAGGGACTCAGAGCAGCAGGAGATCAGTCACTTTATGTGAAGGAGGGTAACTCAAGTAGTGCTGGACTCAAGTGCTTTGGTAAATTTGACATCATCTATGCCAAACTGAGTGCCACCCAACTCAAACTGAACAGAAGAAAACAGACGAAATTAATCTCTGAAATTTCTCAACAGAAAAGACCAAATGCATTCTTTCTCTGAGACTGAGAGTCTTACGAGACGGACGATTTTTCTCCACCACCATCCTCGTGTTCACCGAGGGGAGGTGTTTCTGATCAGGCAGTGCGTCTTGAGCCTTAACAGTATGAGCCACTGACTCAAGTCGCCGAAGAGTTAATGTAGTGCCAGAAATGGATTAACTGCAAGCGTCAGAGGCATCGAACAGTTGAACATTCCCTAAAACCGTGACAGCTCACTTCTAATTATCTGTTCAGCAGGTCCATATTCGATATGACCCTTCAGAACTGACCATGATAAAAATGATATTTTTACAGTTTGGAAAGATGTGTTCACATTTCAAGCAAGGCTGGTGTATTTTATTATTACAGAGCAGTGCGTTTCAGCTATTAATGAAAAAAGGTCTTAATTACTCTTTAATCCATGTAGTCTTTTAAATCAGGTACACACAGTATGCAGTAGCAGTGCATATAAAGTTGTTACACTTTGATTTTTGCTGCCTGCCTCCTCAGATGCATGTATAAAAAGTAGTGGGTTTACTCTGAGTCTGACTCATGAAACTTTGCCTACAACGTGGAAACAAGCAGAGATTTGAGTCCAAGTGGTGAATCAGACTCAGTTCGTGAAATCAAGCACCAGCCCACCAGCATCTCATTTACAGCTGTTGTAAGTGATACCTCACTTGGCCATAGTCTGAAAACAAACTGGCCTAATTTTTTAAAAAATCTGATAAATAATAAAGCAGAGCTGATAATAACTGGGACACAAGCTAACGCTCCACTTGTAGCTCACTGCAACAGATATTATTGACGTGGTGAATTATCCTAAAGGTTGCCAGATTGTCACATCAGTTTCAACCCCCCAAAAAAAGTAACAGCACAACAGGAGCTCATTGCCAAAAGCAGCCAATTGGCAACCTCTCACTCTCCAACAGCCTACTGCTGGCTGTGTTGAATTATCCTGTATGGTCCAATTAGTGCACAGATATTCGTAAGGATTTGCGGTAAATATTTGATTGTGTCGTTTCCACGGAAATGATCATTTATTGATAAAGCGTTGTTAAAAGTGATATTTATAGCTGATCAGTTGGGACGTTCCCTCACAAGCACTGACAGACTTATCTCGGCGATGTGGAACAGAAATGAAATATACATGAGTTCAGAGACCGCCCACAGAAAGGGAGAGATAGAGAGAGAGAGAGAGAGAGAGAGAGAGAGAGAGAGAGAGAGAGAGAGAAAAGAGTGTTAGAGCAAGGGAAGAGAAAACTTTGAGCTGAGGAGAGAGCTGGAGAGAGAGAGAAATACAGAGAGAAGACAGAAAGGAAGAGATGACGGAAGAAAGAAATGGTGAGGGAGATTTAAAGCCCTGCTGATAGAAATAATTTAAACCATTAAAAGTAAAAGTAGAGAGAAATAAGAATAGATCTGGTTGGCCTACATGTTTCATTATTACCACTGATATTACTGCATTCATATGTAAAGCAATCATGACAAATAAAAACAAAATTAATTAATAACAGAAAAACAGAGAGAGAACTTGCGGTGAGTATGTCAAGCAGAATCTGTCTGAATGAGTAAACGGAGCAACAGAGGAGAAAAGAGAAAAAGAGAAAGCGAGAGAGAGATAAACAGAGGGAGAGCAACTGATTTAGGTCTGTGGGTTAAGACGCAGTTGAGCAGACAGGAAAGCAAACTAAATGGACCCACTGAAAGAGAAAATTCCCTCGACGCAAAGACTCACGGACGAGTTGCTGTGGCACTTTTCGGCGCAGAACAGCGCGCCGGGGCCTCACGACATTCGCTTAAAGTGACATGCTGCCAGAGCTGTTATCTCAGACTACGCTTTAATCGAGTTCCTGAGGCCCTCTCTCTCAGCAAATCAATTTTTCAGGAATGTTTTTATTTTTAAAACAAAGGCCTGTATGTTTGGATTGAAGTGAGTGTAGCAGAGCAGACGTGTTTTATTTTCCCTTACATTTTGACAAACCTCGCCTCCTAGCTAGAACATGTCCTGCCTCCATTTGGATTTACTAACCAATCATAGCGCAGGAAGAGGTGAGATACAATTAGCCTATTCTGGTCTAAGCGCAAGAGACAGAATCTGGTTTCCAGTCCAGCTATGGGATAACACTAGCCAATCCTAGTGCAAGAAGTGGGATAACACTAGCCAATCCTAGTGCAGGAGGTGGGATAATACCAGCCAATCCTAGTGCAGGAAGTGGGATAATACTAGCCAATCCTAGTGCAGGAGGTGGGATAATACCAGCCAATCCTAGTGCAGGAAGTGGGATAACGCTAGCCAATCCTAGTGCAGGAGGTGGGATAATGCCAGCCAATCCTAGTCCAGGAGGTGGGATAATACCAGCCAATCCTAGTGCAGGAGGTGGGATAACACTAGCCAATCCTAGTGCAGGAGGTGGGATAATACCAGCCAATCCTAGTCCAGGAGGTGGGATAATACCAGCCAATCCTAGTGCAGGAGGTGGGATAATACTAGCCAATCCTAGTGCAGGAAGTGGGATAACACTAGCTAATCCTAGTGCAGGAGGTGCGATAATACTAGCTAATCCTAGTGCAGGAGGTGGGATAATACTAGCCAATCCTAGTGCAGGAGATAGGATACAACTAGTCATACCACAAGAGGTGGGACACTAATAGCCAGTCTGAGCAGAGGAGGCAGGAAACTACTAAGCAATCCTAATCAGAGCAGAGAAGTCAGGAAAGTACTAGGTAATTATTATCCTAGCAAAGGAGATAGGATACTACTAGCCTATCCTACTATAGAAGTTGGGATACCACTAGCCAATTTAAGCATAGGAGTGGGGGTGTGACTAGCCAATCCTAAGCCTAGCACGGTATGTGGGATACCATCAGCCAATCCTAGCTGGATGTGGGCTAGGACAAGGCAATTCTGGTCCAAGCACAGTAAACATCACTAGTCAGTCCTAGTGCAGGAGTCAGGACACTACTAGCCAATCCATGCACAGAAAGTGGGTTACCAGAAGTGAATCCTTGCGTAAGAGGTAGGATACCACTAACCAATCCTACTGTAGGAGTTGGGATACGACTAGCCAGTCCTAATCCTATGAGGTTGGATACGACCTAGACAATCTAGCACAGGAGGTGGGACAGTCAATTCTAGAGTAAGGGGCAGGATTCTGTTAGCCTATCCTAGTGCAGAAGGAGGGATATTAGTAGTGGATCCTAGCACAGGAAGCAGGATACTACTAACCATAGCACAGGAGTTAGGATACAACTAGCAGAGTTCTAGTGCAGGTTAAGTGATACTGTGAATCCTAGTGCAGAGGGGTGGGGTACAACTTGCCAATCTTAGTCTTAGCTCCTGAAACAGGATACTACTAGTCAGTCCTAGTACAGGAGGTGAGATACTACTAGCCAATCCTAACTTGGGAGGCATTCATAATAGCAGTCAATACTAGCACAGGAGGCAGCACACTACTAGCCAATCCTATTCCTAGCACTAGAGGTGGGATACCACTAGCCAATTCCAGCACATGATTTAGGAGACAACTAGCCAGTCCAAGGCCCAGCACAGGAGACAGAATACTACTAGCCATTCTCAGTGCAGGAGGTGGGATATTAGGCAGGATGCATCTCGCCAATCTTGGCCATAGTGCTAGAGGCAGGACACTACTAGAGAATCCCTGGAAAGGAGGCAGAATACAATCAGCCAATCCTTGTACAGAAGGCAAGACATTGCTAGCCAATCCTAGCACAGGAGGCAGGATACTACTAGCCTATGAATTGAGATACAATTAGCCAGTCCAAGTCCTAACACAGATGATGGGACTGTACTAGCTAATCCTATCAGAGGAGACAGTCTAAATACTAGTCAATTATTGTCCTAGCATGAGATGGGATAACGAGCCTATCCAAGCACAGGAGATGGGACGATACTAGCCGATTCTGTCACAGGAGGTGGGATGCTACTAGTCAATCCTAGGGCAGGAGGAGGGGTACTACTAGCCAATACTAGCACAGCAGGTGGGATAATATTAGTCACAGGAGTTGAGATACTACTAGCTAGTCCTAGCGCAGGAAGTGGGAAAGTATAAGCCAATTCTATCACAGGATGTGGGAAACTACCAGGCAATCCCATCACAGAAGGTGGGATAATATTTGTCAATGTTACCATCAGAGTTGGGATATCAGAAGCTAGTTCTACCACAGGAGGTGGGATAATATTAGCCAATTCTAGCAAAGGAGGCTCGAAACTACTAGCCAATCCTAGTCCTAGTATGGCAGGTGGCACACTGCTAGCCAGTCCTCATGCAAGAGGCAGGATTTGTTGAAATAGGGGAATAAAAAAATAACTTAGCACAGACGTCCATCTCTCTGAAGCAGAAATAGCCCACGCTGACCTGAGTGCTCTGCTCAGACAGTTCTCTGCTTCACCTTTCCGACCTTTTGAATTTTCTCAAGCTTTTTCACAGGTGAGTCTGTCAGATTAGAAAAGAATATTTTTGCTGCACATGTCAAATCATTTTCTTACATTCTCATATTCTCTCCTTCTCTCTTTCTGCCTTTCACACACCCACACACACACACTCTCTCTCTTTCACTCCCTATCAGCGATTGTCTTTGTATTCCCGCCGTCCGAAACTGAGTGAAGTTTCGGACTGAAAGCATTTTCCGGCTGAAATCAGCAGGTTTCCCTCCGCGCGCTGCCGCTATTTCAAAATGTCCCATAGTGACAAAAATATCACCAGGAGACAGCAGTGCAGGACAGGCGGGGGGGATGAAGGGATGAGGAAGGAAGATTTAAAAGAAAAAAAAAAACTAGATGAGGAAAGAGAAGAACATCAAAGAGAAAGTTCAGCCATGAAAATTAACCCCTGAAAATAGACCATGCCTTTTAAATGAAGCACTCTCTTCTGCAAGAGTAATCCCGTTTGCATGCACTATGCTAAAACCTTCTGCAACAAACACGTCTCTAAATTGATGTTTCAGTTTAAAAACTCATCCTTGATTACACAGTGTGCATTCTGGGTAACTGATGGATTCAATGAAATTGGGACAGGAGCTGAAGCGAATGCCTGTGCTTGCTGTACCTTTAAAGTTGGGCCTGATTCGAGCATCATAGCCTGATGTTTTTCCCATCAGCTTGTCCAGAAAGTCAGAGGGGGACATGGGCTTCACCTTACTGCTGGGAGACTTCATCTCTCTGCCAAACACAAGCCTGAAAATGGACAAAGAAGAACAGGATGAAGCAAGAGCAGGAAAGAAATAGAAAAGTGAATGGCTGATATTCTCCTTTCTTGAAAGACTCAATAAGCTCAATAGTTTGGCAAAAAATCTAATCATTATGCACTTATGATCCTGCAAAGAAATGTTGTGCCTTAACTATACTCAGTCTAGGAGGAGCCATGCATTGCCTGAGGCAGTGGTGGGTTTGGCGCCTTGCCTAAAGGCACAAACAGCCAGTCCTGGGATGTGAACCCGTGACCTGTTGGTTGTTGTCTCACCTCTTCTAGCACTAAGCACCTGGGCACACTTCTCTCAATCCATGTCACGTCGTTAAGTAACCTCAAATAGACTTGATTATGTGATTTCTGATACTGTGTGACACATTGTTATCTATAATGGGCAAAAGAATGGATACATCTCAGTCTTCAAGATGGCTGCTACTATTGTTTTTACTTTTTTCTGATAATCAGCCATTATAGCACTGGCATAGGCAGAAAAACATTTTTGGGTAGACCTGTGAAAAAATGAATAGGCCAACTTAGTAAATACAATTTCCAAGCATGCTATGTCTCGCAATATCATAACACCAGGCTATAACCTACTGCTGACTGTCCAGTCATCACTCTTCCTATTCCAACACTTCTGCCCACTGCAAACACAACTGTTAGCCAGTGAAGACGGCATAATTGAGTTAGACAACTGAGATGTACAAAAACGATGAAAATATGACAGCAAACTTAAAACCTAAACATAATCAAAAGGCTAAAAGCATGCAGACATGAAAAAAGTTTATGAACCATTTATGTCTTATCTTTGATGACTCAGTGCATTGAATTAGATGTTTGCTTTGACATTTTGACACAATCTATTTTAGCTTTTGTATTACAAGAGCATTTTAAGTACCAAATTTGCAGACCACTGCTGACAATGTTTTGTAAATTTGGCTTTGGATGGGTAGAAAACATTTACAGTTCCCCCAGGTTCATCTTATTATTGGAGGGCTAAGAAAACAAGGTGGAGCTTAGTGGAAAGTACAATGGTTTTGATTGGCCACAATACAACATTTGTTTTCTGTGAATGACAACATTCACAGAAAACAAACCAAAGGTCAGTATCTTAAAAAATGCTACTTCTAAAATATTCTTTCCCCAGTTGATCAGATGGTCCAGTGGTTGGACTGGGTAGAGCTGCCACCGCTGATTTCCATTTCTAACAACTGGCCTGAAACCTGGTTAACCTATGGCTCGTACTCACAGTCAGTGATCTATTTATCTAACGTATCTAACTATACAACATATCAAACTTACAGAAGGCCTATTCCTACATTTGATCTCATTAAATTAATCTCTACTATTGTAAATCGAAACATGGCTGATTCCTCTGTCAGTTCTAAATTCTGTTGGTAGATAATCTAGACTGTAAGGCCTTTAGTTCTGCCCCTGAAGGCCTAACCTATGGGAGAGCTCGCTTGGCTGTATCTGCCTAGATACTGTTGAGAAAACAATCCTGACTGGACAGTTTACCTTCTGGCGTTTTGAGAAATTATTGATTTTAGCTCATATCAAAACTTAACAATGAAATAAGACACTACAACACGTGCAATACAACAGGAATGATGATGAATTCAAAATTACACGTATAAACTTTAGTTACCGTAAATTGTCTAAAGGCATAGAAGGCTCTGATGGCTCCCATTGGTGTACATAAGCTTGCATTTTAGCTACATTAGTCTCGAAGTCTCGTAGCTCCAGAACTAAAAAAGCAAAACATGTCTTGCCTGATCAATTATATTTGGGGTAGATTACTGTGTAAATTTGTTTTATTTCCAAAATATTCCTTTAAAGGTGTTTCATGATTGCGTCCATTGCTCTTCTAACCCCATGTGGCCAGTAATCACCATATACAAACCCACCAGAGCACCCCTCCAAACTTCTCTGACCATGACCTCTGTCTGGAACATTCTTCCAGCCCAGCACACTAAGAAATCTCCACAGATCCTAGTCCTAAATTGCAAGTTGTTGTACGTATCAATATTTCATGTGTGACAAGAAAGCTTAAATGATTATAAGAATAACTATAAAGTACTTTCTCTTACACACTTGCGCACACACACACACACACACACACACACACACACACACACACACACACTGTCACAGTCCAGTCAGTTTTAGTCCACTGAATCCCACTCCACATTTAGACACATTTCACGCTCGAGCTGCTTCTCCTCGTGTTCGAGAACAGAAGTGTGTCACATTTTATTGCCAAAACTACAAATGCAGCCAGACGCATTAATAGCGACCTGAACTGCGAGTCCACGCTAATTCATTCTGGCTTCACGTTTGATTGTCCTACTGGCCCACATTTTTTTCCGTTCGGTGAGTTTTTGTTCGGGCTGACAGCATCGTGACCGGACTGCCTCATTAAACCCAAACTGAATTTCTAGATGCAAATTTTTCCCCCATTTTTGTTCATTGGCAGCAAAAATATGAATCCAGACAGTGCTGTCTCTGTGTGTCAACTTCATCATTTACAGAGCACACACACATGCACTCAAGAATAAATAAAGAGCACCCCACACGCCTGCACACACATGCACACACTCACACACACACACACACATATATATGTATATATATATATATATATATATATATATATATATATCTTTTGTAGTTTTTCAGTTTTTGATAAATGAACTAAAAGAAAGGACCCAAAATGACTTGGAAAAACATCTGGTTCCATTGACTTAAATTAAAAGTGAAGTAGGTTTTTTCGTTCTCCTGTAAAGTTACCATTTTGGAGATTTTCTTGCCAGCTACCATTTACAGTGTGTTAACAATTTAAACGGACCAACAAAAATGATCCAAAATGATTTGGAAAAAAATCTGGTTTCATTAACTTTCATTGAAAAGTAAAATCATTTTTCTTTCTCCTGTAAATTCCCATTTTGGAAATACAAGATTTTGCCATGATAGCAATGTAGATGTATACTACAATATCATCACTGTCACAAACGTTGTACCTCTAATTTGAAGACACCTGCTGCCCTTTGTCAAAACTTCATGCCGAACAGGCCAACAGAAACCATCCAGAATAACTTGGAATGAAATCACTGTACATTAATCATTAACTTAGACTGAAAAGAATGTTTTATTTATAAAAGAAAATAATATTTAAACATTAAGCATTCATTTGTTCAGAAAAGCACTAATAGAACAAATATACATTGCCACTGATGTAAAGCAAAGCCAAAATGTGCTAACAGCGCCCCCTGTGGAGATTCTTCAGTCTGCTAAGCTTGAGTGAGTTTGTGTGTTATTGTATTTGTTTAACATTTCCAAAGCTCTCCTCGAGGAAGCCCAGTAATATTTGTAGTTCTCCTCCAATATCTAGTTTAAATAATCAATCCTTTAATAGATTAATTCTGGTGCTGTTGACGGAATTAAACAAATCCATGTGAAGACTGGAGGGCAGCAAGAAATCAGGAACCTATTTCACGTTACTGCCACAGTAAAATCTAGTACCTTTACAGAATAAGGGGAATTTTCTTTTAATATAAGTCAGTAGAAGAAGATTTTGTTCCGAATAATTTTGGAGAATTTGTATTGGTCTGTTCATTGTGAAATTTTGACACAATGCAAAAAGCAGCTGGAATGTTCAAATTCTGCAAAAATGTTTGAAAATATATAAAATACTGGTTTATATATGTAAACCGCTTTTGTTGTTTCTTTTTTTTTGCATTGTGTTACAAATTCACGATAAACTAACAAAAGAAATGCTCCAAAATTAATGTTGATTACAAGTTGAGAATGTTTTTGCTTTTTAATTCTCCTGTGAAGTTACCAAATGTTCTGACAGTGACAATATGCTAAAAGAATGACTTCCAAAAGAACTTGTTCTTAACATACACACAAGCCTACATTGTCCTCAAAGATGCAAACTCATGAAGATGGATCTGATGGATGTACACAACACCTGTGACCCAGCAAACGTTTATATTTACACATATGACACTCATTTGTGATGTATTTACCTTTGTACGCTCTCTGTGAAACACACTTGATCTAACACACTTGATCTAATTTAAAGTGCACTGTGTAAAGCCAGTAAAGATCTGTACCTGATGACTCCACTCGGCCCAAAGAAGAATAAAATCCACAAATTCCTCCACACTTGCGTAAACATTATTCCTCTTTCTCTTCGTTCTCTCTCTCTCTCTCTCTCGGCGGTCTGAGGTGGTCTGTGATGTTCTCCGATGCGCTCACACACTCACTCACTCCTCTCCTCCCACACAGCTGAACTCCGCCACATCAAGCACTCAGAGAAGTTTAGAACTCTGCATATTGGTAGGTCTCTCTCTCTCTCTCTCTCTCTCTCTCTGTCTCTCTCTCTCTCTTTCCCTCCACACCTCTATCTTGCCCTCTCTGTCTCTTTTTTTCTCTCCCTCACTCTCTTTTCTCTTTCAGTTTTCCTCTGTCTTCTTTTCTGTTATTTTCTTTTGTATATCTCACTCTTTTCTCTCTTTCACTCCCACTGTTTTCTGTCTTTCACCATCTCTTCTCTTTTACCTTCCATTTTCTCTTCTCTCACTTTTTTCTGTTCTCTTTCATCTCTTTCATCTTTTCATCTTTTCACCTTCCTCTCTCTTTTCTCACTCTGTTCTGCTCTTTTTCTCACTCTTACTCGCTCTACTCTCTCTCACTTACACCATCTCTTTTCCCTTTATCTCTCTCGCTCTCTCTCCCCTCCTCCTCCTCCTCCTTCCCCTTTCTTTTTTCTCTCAGTGGCCACATGTTAGCCTGAGGAACCGGAGCAGACAGAAGCAGAATGTGTGTGTGTGTGTGTGTGTGTGTGTGTGTGTGTGTGTGTGTGTGTGTGTGTGTGTGTGTGTTTCAAGATTTTCATCAGATTTAACAGTGGTGACATATTTGCACCTTAGGGCCTTAAAAAACCCACCATCAACAACATCATCACCACCATCACCATCATCATCATGATCGACATTATCACTAGCACCATCACCTTCATCACATCACTATAATCATCACCATCATCATCCTCACCATCATCATTACTGTCATTATAATCATCATCACATCACCCCATCATCATCCTTAGTATCATTATCATTTCAGTCATCATCATCATTACCATCACCATCATCATCCTTAGCCTCATCTGCATCATCATACCCATCACCATCATCACTATCATCACCATCACATCATCATCACAATCATCACCATCATCATCACCATCATCATTACCATCATTATAATCACCATCATCATCACATCACCCCATCATCATTATCATTTCAGTCAACATCATCATCATCATCATCATCATCATCATTATCATGGTCAACATTATCATTATCATCATCATTATCATTACCATCATCATCATCATCATGATAATAATAAGGATACTTAGCCTCATCTGCATCATCATCATAACCTTCACCGTCATCACTATCATCACCATCACAGTCATCCTTAGCCTTATCATCATCATAACCATCACCGTCATCACTATCATCACCATTACATCATCATCACTGTCACTATTATCATTACCATCATCATGCTTAGTCTCATCCACATCATCATAACCATCACAGTCGTCACTATCATCACCATCACATCATCGTCACAATCATCATCATCATTATCATTACCATCACCCTTAGCCTCATCATCATAACCATCACCGTCATCACTATAGTCATCATTACATCATCACCATCACCATTATCATTACCATCATCATCACCTCCACCATCATCATCAGCATCATCTCCATCATGATCACCATAATCACCATCAGCATCATTACCATCATCATGATCACTATCATCACTATTATCACCATCATGCACTATTTTCACCATCATGATAATGTAATCATTATCTTTATAATCATGACCGTAATCACAATCTTAACCATCAGCATCATTACCATCATCCTTATCACTATTATCACTTTCATCAGTCATCACCGTCATCATAATCCTCACCATTACCACCACCACACCACCGTCACTAGTGCCTCTCTATCTTTCTGCCTTTCATCCATCTTTCTATTTTTCTTGTTCTTGTTCTCATTTCTTTTTCCAATTCCTTATTAATCCCTCCAGCTCATCTAACTGTAGAATTCTGCTCTTTCAGCTGATGTTGGTAATTCTACACCGGTGTAGGGAGGCTGATGCATTAATGCTGCTAAATGCTGGCTAATTTACATGTGGTGTGTAAACCGTGATTCAGCTTCTTTTCTAGTGAGCAGTAAAGGAGTTTTCCTCTGTAGCAATAAAGCCTCTAACAGATCAGAACCTACCCTGCTTGTGTGACTTACTGGTCAGTTTATGTATTTACTGGAACAAACTGGCTACCTACTAGCATGTCCGTGCTAGTAAGGTTTCTTTACATAGTACGTTCTTTGGCTAAGTTAGGTGACTCTAGTTAGGTTTTTACAACTAAAAAGGTGGAACTAAGAAGGAGCCAATTATATGGCAACTAATTAAGACCAAAGACGACCGAAATAACTAGTATTCCTAAATCTGCAGCCAGCCTTTAATGCTATCAGTGTAGCTACTAACTAGTGCTATCTTGGTTTACCATGCTAATAAGTAACATTAGCCAGACTTTGTGCTTTACCACCTCCATGCTCCATATTCTGTGTATTAGCCTCTGTCTTTCACCAGTGTTTTCTTCCCCCTGTACATTCAGTTGGATTTTCAGCAGTGAGGGAGGGAATTATGTCCAGAATGAACAGATTTATGTTCAGAGACTGGAAAATAAATAACTGAAGGGTGGTCTCAGACTGCGCAGTCCTGTATATCATCACTGTCCAAATAAATAAATAAATAAAAATAACCAAAAAATAAGAAATATATATACATTTTTTACATTTTTCTTCATATTTTTCTGAACACAATAGCTGTGCTTTACATTGTAGCTGAATAGACCAACATAAATGCTCCAACATGACTCAGAATTAAACCCTTTTTCTTTAACTTGCATTAAAAGTTAAGAAGATTTTTGCCTGTGAAGTTACTGTTTTGGAGATACATGTTTTTGGAATAGCGATGATGTATAATTAACTGTGTAGTTTCTTTCTACATAATTAACCTAATAATAAATATGCAAATGTGATAAACAGATTATAGAAATAATAATAAACTGTAGAAAATAGGTTCTAAATATCATCGCTGTCCAAAGAAAACCGTGTATCTCTATTTCTGTTGATTTTTATTTTTCTAAATCTTTATGTGAAAATTTCATGGTGATTGGACATGTGGAAATGCTCCAAAATCACCTGGAATAAAACCTCTTTACATTCACTTACATTAAAAAGTGAGAGTGTCTTTGCCCTCTCCTGTAAACTTACTATTTTGGAGATACTTGTTTTTCTTTGGACAGCGGTGATATACAACAGTGTCCATTTTGGTGAGTTGTTTAAAAGAAGGCATTTGGGAATGATGCAATGATGCAAAGTCCAAGCATACAGTCAACATATATGTCAAGTATATAAAGCTAAAGAGCCTCTGAATTTAATACATTAGGGACCCATAGAGTCCCACTGATAGGCCAAACGTGCTAAAACTGTGCAAGTGGAGGAGCAAAAGCACATACTACTGTTCAAACACCGTTCATAATGCAAAGTGACCTGGGAGAATAAACACACACAACACAGCAAACACACGGCCGGCCTGGTCATGTCGCTGTCTCAGAGCAGATGGCAAGTTTAAGGTGTCTCTGTGGATTCAGGGCTGGATGTATATTTCATGCAGCCTTCAGACCCGAGGCTTGGAAAAGCTAACGCTATGGGGGGTGGAAAAGAAAGAGAGAGAGAGAGAGAGAGAGAGAGAGATTGGAGGAGAAAACTAATAAGAACAGTGCACCACTGTAACAGTTTATTTCCCCTGGCAGTTTTTTCTTGTTAAAGTAATACTTCAGCATCTTTCAAGCTAATCTCTCTCTGTTGCATCTGTCACACCACTGGTTGCCTCATTATTTCTGTAGCTGTATTCAGAAAAGTACATAAACCCGATGACCTAAAGCTCAATAATAGAAGCCTATGGGCAGATACTGAATTCCTTGAATAAATGTTTGGAACACACTTAATGGCCAAAAGTATGTGGACACCTGTCCATCACACCTATATGAGCTTGTTGGACATCCCATTCTAAAACCATGGGCATTAATATGCATTAATATCGCTCTCTTTGTGGTTATAACAGCCTTCACTCTTCTAGGAAGGCTTTCTACAAGATTTTGGAGTGTGTCTGTGGTAATTTGTGTCCATTCAGTCAAAAGAGCATTTGTAAGGTTACTGATGTTGGACGAGAAGGCCTGGCTCGCAATCTATATTCCGATCCCAAAGGTGTTCACTCCACATTTCCACTGCTCCAGAATCCATGGCAGCGTGCTTTACACCACTCCAGCCGACTGGACTAATCAAAACTAGGTAGGCTAAAAACTATGCTAATGTTAGCTTTAGTACATGACCAAAAACTACACCCAATCTATCCCAAAGCTAGCAGTTTGTGAGTTCAGAACATGCCTTCAACATGGTGGTGGTAATATGAGGAAAGACTGATTGAGGGAGGGGGGAGAACTCTGAGAACTTCTGCCTGTAACTAGCAGGCCAGACCCCCTCATGGCTGTAGCAGGACTGATATAGGACTGAGGAACAGGGAGGAGATGTGGTTTCGGTAGGGATTGCAAAGCCTTTGTCTTGGGAATGGAATGTGAGGATGTGAATTTATAGGGCGTTAGATTGGAAGAAGGAGGGGTTTCAGCCATGCTCCTCCCCCCAAACTTCAGTTATAACATAACTACATTATATTTAAAGAAAGCATTTCAAAGCAAAGCAAAGTCTTTTTGGTCAAAACTTCTAGTCACCGCGAGTTGGTTCACCTCCTCATGACTGTGATTGGTCCACATGTCAAATGAATAACATGGCCTACATTTAGCTATTTTGACCAGAACTGTGTTGCACGTTAGCAAGGCTGAATGAGATCTGATCAGCCAACAGTTGTTATGATGGAATGTATTTGTGGGCAGAGCATGGATAGATCAGTTCTGACACACAGTGGGAATGAGAGAGAAAAGAAGGAACAGAAAGGTAGGAGAAAAACTTTAGTTGAGATTAATTAGGATTAATGCCAAACACTGCAGCGCTACAGTTGTGTACGTGTAGAGTCAATGTGGGTAACTAGGCCAGTGTTCATATGAATCTGAGCGTTTCTACTGTGGAGTGATTCCAACTGATGCGTATCAGGCCCCGTTTCGCCCGGATACAGCTCCACTCGGACCTCACATACTCAGACAACACGCATGTTCTCTTCTACACCCACATAAGTCAGTTTGTGTGCTTCAGGGTGAAGTACG